ATATGTCCTATCTTTTTGATTATCAACACAAACACCTCCATTGTAAGAGCAATAATCCAAGCATGATACCAGAACAATGAGAGGAAAACACAAAAGAATAACAGAACTATCATCAACGTGATAATATGAGGTGAAATGAAACATTCTTTATGACAGGAGACATCTTTCCTACCATAATAGTTGTTGCTAGCATTTATTTATTTATTTATTTTTCAGCAAATTCTAGCAATATTTCTAACAAAGATTTACGTTTCTTTTTCAGTTCTTTTACCTTTCTTTACTGAAAATAATGTCCTAATTCATTATTATTTCTTTTTTTAAAATCGTTCCAGAATAAAATATCGTTGAAAAAGAGTGAAGTTGAAAGATCTGATTTATAGGCTTTTTTTTAAAGTCTTATGTCGAAAGAAAGTATTGAGATGTTGATTGTGTCACGATCGTTAGTGAACCAAAATTTTCGTTCAGTTAAATTAACATAAAGACATGTTATGTTCGATAATAAACAAAACTATCCAATTAATTCTAAAATAGAATAAAATAAATACCACTGAGTTCTACAGATGAGTCTTACAATAAAATGAATTGAATTAGATCTTGAACATTTTTAATTAGCAAAAATAAAATCAATACATTAGAAAATAATACCCATTTTCATGATACTTGTGATGGAAATGACTCTTTCGAAATATATTGAATTTTTTTGCTACTTAAAAATAGTTAAAACGAAAATATTACCGAGAGAGGGAAGATATAACCAGTGGAAACGGCACTATTTCCTTTGGTTAGGATTTTGATCGCTTCAATCAGAATAGGATATGAGAGAATTGCAAATTTATTGTACCATTCGGAGCAAAAAAAACAGGAGTGAAAAAAATCTTCAATATGAAAACTAATGAGTAGTGTATTGGATTATACTACGTATATGAGAAGAGAAAAAGAATAAATTTTACCGACTACTACTATAAGTATAGCTGCGATATACAAGAATATATTCAAAACATGTCTAAATACAAGAGTTTTTCTAAACACGTTAAAAATACTTAAGATTATATATTGAAAGAACTTTGTTTGTGTGGTTCGAAATATGGTAGGAAGTCAAAGTTTGATGCATCTCGATTACATAAGTCTAATAATGTCTTGTATGTTATAAAGTGATGGAAAAAAGTTTAGAAACAACGATTTTTTTGGTTTTTTTCATAATGTTAAGCACATAGCTCTAATCCAAATAGTGATTATAATAGTCAATGGAGTTTTCTATCCAATACACTTTATAGCAAGATTTCACAGATGAACAATGATGGCAAGGCTTTGTCAGAGTTATTTTTAAATGATGCCAACTTAAAGAGCACAAAATTCTGAGCAAAATGAGGGATCGTCGAGTTTTCTACGACCTTCTTATAAAAAGTTACAAGCATCACAAAAATCATGAAAAAGGCGTTTTTAGTCGATTTTTAAAAAAATTTTGTTTTTTCATGATTTTTGTGATGTTTGTAACTTTTTATGAGAAGTCCGTAGAAAACTCGGCGATCCCTTATTTTGCTCAGAACTTTGTGCTCTTTAAGATGGCACCGTTTAAAAATAGCTCTAGCAAAATCTTCTAGAACCTGAAATATACCGTGTTCGATTTTTTAGGAGCCTTCCCATCATTGTTCATCTGTGAAATCTTGCTATAAAGTGTATTGGATAGAAAACTCCATTGGCTATTAAAATCACTATTTGGATTAGAGCTACGTGTTTAACATTATGAAAAAAAACAAAAAAAATCGTTGTTTCTAAATTTTTTTCCACCACTTTATATTCATGATATGATGTTATTTGCAAAAAATGACTAGGATTCTTCGTTGATTCACATACACTTTGTACACACATTACCATACAGAACACTGTGTATAGATAAGGAGATGTGCGTGACAGAGCTCGAACTACTCTTAAAAAATGATGTCGAACCCAACTAAACTCAAACTAATTGTCGAAAAGCGAGTTAATGATTTTCTTTTTTGTGTGACATTGAAGACTTATTAGAGTAGTCTAATCTGAAAAAATCATAAAGATTGATTGAAATATTAAACTTTTACATATAAGAATATAACTGTACAATAAAATTGCAATTCACTCATATAAATATACCTTTGAGTATGTTGTAACACTTCACAGAAAATTTCAAAATATTCTTGAAAAATCTTTATACAATTCTTCAAAATATCAATAGAACAAAAAAATGATGTTATATGAATAAGAAACAAGTAAATCATAGAATATACATACCATAAAATTGTATATTAAAATTTAGTTGATTCTATAAAATTAATTATATCCAATTGAAAATTTGAATTAATTTAACTTACCAATAATATTTTTGTTTTTTCGAAAAAAGAATTCATATAAAAAATTCTTTTTTAAAGAATTATTATTATTATTAATATTAATTTGTTCTAATATTTGATTTTCTTCTTGTATTTTAGCAAAATTAACAAATACATCATCAAGTGTAATCTGTGTAACTGTATAATCTTCAATTATATTTCCTAATTTTTCTCGTGCTTTTTCTAAAATACTAAATATTTTATATAATCGAATATTTGTTGATACACAAAAATGTATCATTTTATAATGTTCTTCTATAACATCAACATTTGGTATTCGTTCTTTTATATAATTAATAATATTTTTCGTATTATTATTCATATTTGATCGAACAAATATACTATAACCATGACCAAATCTTTAAAAAGAATTTAAAGAAAAAAAGAATTGTAAAACAAAAAGAAAAACCAGATTTTACTTTGTTTTTAAATGTTGTACACTACCAAGACATTTAAATTCTCCATTAACCATAATAACAAGACCTAACAAAAACGCTAATATATTTCAAAAAGACAAAAAAAAAATAAAGATAAAATATTCATACGATTGCATAATGTTTCACATTCTTCCATTGAATGAGAAGTTATTACAATTGATTTATGATCTTTACGAGTTAATGTTAATATACAATTCCATAAAAATCTTTTTGCACGTGCATCCAATCCAGTTGTTGGTTGCTAATAATGATTATCAATTATTTTCTTTTTTTTTGAAGAAAATATTTTTTCTAAAAACTTACATCCATAAATATAATCGATGGATTACCAATAAGTGAAATAGCTATTGATAATTTACGTTTATTACTACCAGAATATTGTGTTACTGGTCGATCAGCCCAAAGTGTAAGACCAAGTCGTTGTAATAACTAATGGGGACAAATTAAATGTTTAGTATTTTTTTGTAAATGTTCAGTAAAATTTGTTCAGTATTGTATTCAAATGTTTAGTAAAGAAATCAAACGATCAGTCCAAAATTCAATGTTCAATAACTATTTCGTTTATTCAGTTAATTTATTACTTGCACAGTAAAATAATAAATCGATCAGTATTAAAATTAAAGTTTCCGTAATCAATTCAGTTTGCTGATTAAAAAATTCATTTACTCAGTAAAAAGTAGTATTATTATCAGTAATCACATATTTTTTTCTATGAAAATATTTTGATTTAAACAGATGAGCGATTGTCCACATTGACTGATGACGACATCATAAGTCAACATACTATGTTATATGGTAATCCTCGATAATTGTATACATAAGTTGTATCATGGATGGATGCCATGTTTTTTTTAACCTACTTTTTCTATTCTAGTGTAGTTGTTCGATCTTTTACAGTTACATATAAAGATGAATACATTGTGTTCTCTCTTTATTCTCCATGTAACAAAGGTGAAGAAGATTCTCGATATCGTCCCCTTGTTCGTCCCTTTGTCTATTCCTGTATAAATAGCTCGTTTCTTCTAAATAAGTTGAATTCTGATTAACCATAATTGCTATTATGAATTTGATGTTACAATGGGAACAGCCTTAGAAATTGTTGAAGTTCCAACTTATGTTTTTGATGAAGGAATGGATACAAGTGAAACTATAGAGGGTGTAGGGTGTGGGTATGGGTGCCCTAGTCGGCTCTCCCCAACGAAATCACTGGGAAGCCCCTGAAAAATGCGAAATCCCCGGGGAATCCCTGTCGCGAGTCCTCGGGAGAATTGCATATCTCAGGAATCTCCTAAAACTCCCCGGAGAATCCCCAAATTCTATGGAGTCCCTCTAAAATTTTCATAAATTTGAAGTTTTCAGAGAATTCTAATGGTGGTTTCCCTGAGAGATCCGGATAATACTTATCAATTCCCTGAGGAGTCCCAAAGAAGTCACCACGAAGTCCCCTGAATCCCCTTTTACCACCCCCAGGGACTCACGACAGGAATTCCTCCGAGGATTCTTCTAGGAAGTCTCGACTAGGATGTGGATGTTGATCTCGATGTCACTTATCAGAACAGACTAACACCCACACATCTTCTTAACTGAAATAAACTAATAAAAAATAATCATACGTAAATGTTGTCATTGATTATCTTTAATAAAAGTAAACAAACGAAAACAATAATAAGACAATATAATAGTTTAGCACGATATATTCGAATTTCATTTCATTTCACATGAGATACGATCTAAAAAATTTATAAACGAATCATTATATATATATTAATGTTAACAAGAATATAGAAGATTCGTTACAACATATTTTTTCATCGATATTTCCATGTGAAATAACATACGTCACTTGATTAACTTAATTTTTTTGAATAGATTCACAAAGGTAACAAATAAAGGAATGGCCTCTTTTTTAATGTTCATTTACGGTAAATATTAAAATATGCAATTATCAAATTAATTCAATATCGAACTAATATCCATTTCAAAATAAAAGGCGGGTGGTTGTTTTTTGAA